CATTGTACTGGCACCTCGCCCTGTACCAAAATGTCGCCATACCTGTATGTGAACTTCACCATGACTGCACTGGCACCTCACCCCTGTAACAAATGTCCGCCATTACTGCACGTGGACGCCGCCACCACCATTGTACTGGCATCACAAAACTGTACCAAAACTCGCTCCTACAGGAACCGTGCCACAACTAAACAATGGGAATATCTCGTTTGTTTTAAAATATATGCCTAACATTTATTGTTCTGATGTTATTTAGGAGTTTGATTCAAGTGAATATGAATCATGAATATTTGAAAATTGTGCTGCGAGAGTGAATGTCTATATTTAGGGATAGTAGAAAATCGTGTTAGATATTTATGAGACAGTGAATAAATAAGTTATTATTTATTTGATCAAAAGTGAAAAGGCTTATGTGAAGATTACAGAGCTTATGTATATTCAAATTGTCTAAATAAAGGGATTGAAGGTGCACTATAATCAGAAGACGTGATAAGGGAGACAAGTTCTCTATTGTAGTACGATAATTGAAGTGGTATAGACGTGACCCCATATTTCAATATATCACATAATTTGTGGTAAGATTAAAGAATTGTGTAACAAGAGGAGAATAGAATTATTTCCATTTTTGGGAGCAATGTTTTTGTGAACTTTTTAAATATGGGATTGGTTGTCAATGGTCACACCCAAATAGCACGCCCTCTATCACTCAGTTTTGACAGCTTTATTTGGTGAATTCATTATCATTAATTACTTTTGTCAACATTGATGGTTAGTTTATTGGCATTACACCAATCACAGACTTTCTGAAAATGGTCATCAGTCTGGGCTAAGTTGACGGTGTTATGTTTGAGGAATTTAAGTAAGTTTGTGTCATCTGCAAATAATCTGAAATGGAAGATGTCAGTTGGGTGGGCTAAGAATTGATCCCTGTGGGACCTCAGGTACGCACACAGGGAGTCCAGGAACTATGATCAACTGTACGCGCTCCCTATGAGCGCGGGGGGGGGGGGGTATCGGCTGGTATCTAGTGTAAGAAATAGACAAGGGATCAAGGCTCCAGCCAGCTCATATTTTGTTAACAACCAATCACAAGACTGGTTACGAACCAGTTGAGCAAGGCTAACCGAGTCGTGACCTCGATGTGGTTCGTAACCTGTCTTGTGATTGGTTGTTGACAAAATGCTGAACAGGCCACGCCTCCAACTATGCCGTGCGTTGGGGCAAACCGTTAGAAATTCCTAAATGGAGTCAATTTGTGTAGTTTTCTTGATTTATTCCGCAGATATCGGTAAAGTGTAGGCAAAGCTT